GGCCCATGGGTCCCCGGAAGAATGAAAAAATGAATGCAAGTCAACGGGGCTAAAAACACTTTTTTAATCTTCTTTGTCTTACGCCCTGGATTGCACACGTTGTACGTCTGTCTAAATGAAAAGTAATGACGTGTGTTTCAACCACGCTAGTTACATACTTATCAGCTTGTAAAAGTTCGTAATTAGCGTGACTACAAATCGGATGTTGGCACGTCGCAGACATGACGTCGCCACCGAATCTCCTCCCCCCTAGCGTAGCTGCTACTCAGCATGGCCAGATTTATGGTGGTTCTTTCCTCCTGAAGGAAGGATTTGAAGTACGCTGAACTTACAGCCATTTTCCCTGTTTTTCTCTGTGTCTGGTTCCATGACGTCACTTTTGTGAAGCGCATTTGTAGTCCTGGACTTATTTTCACACAAAATCTAAATTAATGTTTCCCCAGTTAGAAAATAAGCACTTCCTCTGTATCAAAATGTGTCTTTAAAATTCACAGACATCACATGTGAACCCCATGGCACATAGCAAGCGGAATTAGAAAATAACGTTTTTAGCCCCGTTGACTTGCATTCATTTTTGCGTTCTTCCGGGGACCCGCAGTCCGGAAGATGATGGGCATGACTTAGGCTCCCTATAGTCAGGACCCTAAAGTTAACGAGTAACCAGTGCTGAGACATCAGAACAGGAGTGATGTGAGCTGTTCTGTTTGCTCCAGTTAGGAGCCTCGCTGCAGAGTCTTGGACCACCTTAAGGTGGTCAAGTGCTTTTTTGTTAAAACATGTGAAAAGTGTGTGTTACAGTAATCCAGACAGGAGGAGATGAAGGCATGGATGACCGTTTCAAGTTCATGTTATGACACCAAGTTTTGCAGTTGGGAGAAATTTGTAAAATTATAAAAACGGTTTGTGTCCAGGGCTTTGGAGTGGCCTTCAAGGGACATCGATGGGTCAAAAGCAACATTTTATTTTGCAACGCCACCAGGATGTGTCCGACTTGACATCGGTTCTACTAAAGAGATTTAACGACCAGTGTCGATATAAAAAATAGTAAATATTCATCCAATTTATTGGCTGACCATTATTTTCCAAGTAGCCTCACATAGCTTTATCTGCAGCAATGTTTCACAATAAAGCTCCTCCCCACACACAGACATGTGCAAGAGGACTCGAGCCGTGGTGGTCATGGATGTCTGTGGTGGTCATGGAGGTCTGTGGTGGTCATGGATGTCTGTGGTGGTCATGGAGGTCTGTGGTGGTCATGGATGTCTGTGGTGGTCATGGAGGTCTGTGGTGGTCATGGAGGTCTGTGGTGGTCATGGATGTCTGTGGTGGTCATGGATGTCTGTGATGGTCATGGATGTGGATGTCTGTGGTGGTCATGGAGGTCTGTGGTGGTCATGGATATCTGTGGTGGTTATGGATGTCTGTGGTGGTCATGGAGGTCTGTGGTGGTCATGGAGGTCTGTGGTGGTCATGGAGGTCTGTGGTGGTCATGGATGTCTGTGGTGGTCATGGATGTCTGTGGTGGTCATGGATGTCTGTGGTGGTCATGGAGGTCTGTGGTGGTCATGGATGTCTGTGGTGGTCATGGAGGTCTGTGGTGGTCATGGAGGTCTATGGTGGTCATGGATGTCTGTGGTGGTCATGGATGTCTGTGGTGGTCATGGAGGTCTGTGGTGGTCATGGAGGTCTGTGGTGGTCATTGAGGTCTGTGGTGGTCATGGAGGTCTGTGGTGGTCATGGAGGTCTGTGGTGGTCATGGATGTCTGTGGTGGTCATGGATGTTTGTGGTGGTCATGGAGGTCTGTGGTGGTTATGGATGTCTGTGGTGGTCATGGATGTTTGTGGTGGTCATGGAGGTCTGTGGTGGTCATGGATGTTTGTGGTGGTCATGGATGTCTGTGGTGGTCATGGATGTTTGTGGTGGTCATGGATGTTTGTGGTGGTCATGGATGTCTGTGGTGGTCATGGATGTCTGTGGTGGTCATGGATGTTTGTGGTGGTCATGGATATTTGTGGTGGTCATGGAGGTCTGTGGTGGTCATGGCCCTGAGATGTCGTCCCTCATTTTCATCTCTGAAAGGACAATTCTCAGTTTGAACATTTTTTTTGTAGAGATGTGAATCTCAGAGCAACTCACGATTTGATTTGATTCCGATTCTCGGGGTGCCGAGTCGATTCAGAATCGATTCTCAATTTAAATCAATTCACAATCAGTATTAACAAAGAGTGTCAGCTCCAGGATGAACTACTTTGTTGTAGAAGTTAGTTAAAGCTGTGGGACATTGTTATTTGACTTTAAACTGGTCATGCTCCAAAATGCTAATTTACAACGTAAAATAAAGTGATTCTAAAACTGTAAACAGAAACAATCTTTTGACCAAAAGGCAACATTTATTTTTGCTTACCTTGTAAAATATAACTAATCTGTAGTTACCTAACAGTAGCTTTGAAAGTAACACGGTCAAATACTTTAAGTATGTGTAGGAACAAGTTACACGAGTAATCCTGAGTACTCATTTATCAACTTAGAAAATAAATATGAGAATATCTCAAATTTCTGAGTATGGAAAAAATTACATTCTAGTGCCCTCTTATCAGCAGATTCAAACATAAATCATCTTTATTTATGGGACCACAAAAGTAATCGGAGTACTGACTCTCCTAACAAAGATCAAAAAAGTGTATCTCAAACCTGTAACGTGCCAAATATTTGAGTCCTTGGAATCGATTCTGAACCTTTGTGAATCGATTCTGAATCTTTATAAATAAGAATCCCGATTCAGACTTGAATCAAGTTTTTTCAGCACCTCTATTTGTGTCTTTGTAGAAACAAGAAATGACCATATTTGGACTGGAGGGTGGAGCTACAAAATGGATTTAAACATCTGTTTACTGATGCTCAGAAAGATCTACATGTTGGAGAAATGTTTTTTTTTATTACTTTCAAAAATAAAACATGTCAGATTTTATTAACAGCGCCTAGTTGCCCCTGTTGGTGCTGCATGTCCAGCAGCCTACAGGCCTGATGGGGTTCTGGATGAGGTCTGGGTAAGATCTCGGACCGGAGGCTGTAGTTTATGTGTCCAGATGTGGCGTAAAGAGGACACACCTCCAGCTGAGAGAAGCTACTGCAGCAGAGCTTTGCAAAAGGAGCTTCCTTTTTCAGTCTGAGATTCATCAGCCGGTCCAATCAGGTGAAACATGACTCTGTTCTGACCTCAGATCAGCCATCAGCTGCTCTCTGGGTATGGGGCGGGGTGGGGTGGGGGGGTGGCGGCTCAACAGGAAATGGCTGTTTGTGTTCTGAGTAAACTCAATAACTCCACCCTGCTCCGAGCTCAGGATGAGCTCATTCTGCTGCTGCACAAACACTTCTCTCATTCTGGTTCTGATGGTTCAAATCCACCGGCTTTGGTTCTGGACGTTGGTGAGTCTGATACCTGAACCCCAGAGATCCAACAGGTCCATCAGTATCAGCTCTTCTATTTGAGCATAGGCGTGTGTCCGCTTTAGTGGTGCTAGGGCTGTAGTCCGGACCAAACCGGGTCGTGCAGCAGAACATCGATCTCGAGCATTGTGGTTCTTCCATTGTTCCACTGTGGATCTGGTCTCTGGTTCTGTTCTGGTGGTCGGGTCCAGTCTTTAGTCTGAAAGGGACTCAAGTGCAAGTTCTGGAGGACCAGGATGTTGGGTCAGGTGGATTCTGGTTTTAGGGTTTACCTCGGTGCTTTGGTGGGAGGTGTGCCCCTCTGCCTGTCCGGACTCATAATTTTGGTGTGTGTGTGTGTGTGTGTGTGTGTGTGTGTGTGTGTGTGTGTGTGTGTGTGTCCCTTTTTGGAGGTGAGGTCTATGGGTGGAGCTTCCTGTCAGACGTGGCAGTAGGAAACATATTCATCCTGGTTCTGGACTGCGGTACTGACTGGACCTTGACCCATCCCCAGGTCCGGTGGGTCTGCTGTGTCTGTACTCATTCAGAACCAGTTTTGGAGGCTCTGATTGGCTCATAGTGCAGATTTATCAGGAACTGCCCTCTGATTGGAAAGAAAGAGTTTATTTTTTTAAATGTCCAACAAAGTTGAGATGTAAAGTCGGGGAGAAAGCTCTCGCAGCTCTGGACTCCGGTTCTGGTCCGGCTCTGAACTTCTACCTGCAGATAGCTGAGACCAATCTGGGATCTATTTCAGGGAAGTCCGGTCCATTAGTGGTTCCTTAAGGGCCCTCCAGGTTCTGGGCCAAGTGCTGTAATGGTTCCTCGACGAATCAAAGCACATCGCGCTCTGACTCGACTAAACACAGCAGCTCGCCCTCTGGGGGCCTGATAAGCACCGTTACCCATGATCCTCTGCTGCAGCTGAGCCTGGACCTCTCTGAGGGGAGCAGTGCACTCTGGGAGCTGTAGTTCTCTTACCCTTGAAAAAATAGCCTTCAGGTTGTGCTGACCTGAGAGCAGATGAATGGGCGGTATTGATCCGACTACCGGAGCCAAGAGGGGTCACGTGAGGAGGGAAAGTGCTTCATGAATAAATAAAACCTGCATTCAGTCATGTGATCCTAAATATCTTTTAGATTTCTGCAGCTTTGTAGTTTCGGACCTCACCTGGACTTCTGGACCGCTGCTGGTTTCCCTGTCGGGATGGTGGACGAGTGGAGCCATCCAAAAACTGCGTTGGGTTAGAGCTCATTCTGGCGGCCAGCAGAGGGATGGGAGTTCCTCTCAGACGCCTCGGGTCAAATAACGTCCAGTCGTGCTTTAGTTGTGGTTCTGGTGGAAGGCCAGACTTCACAAAATGTTGTTTCGTTACCAAGTATCTGTTTGGGCTGGGTCTGAATCTGGGCCACGTTGGTTCTGAACTGGATCTGTTGCTTTGAAAAGAGATGTGCTGTTAGCTGGTGGTGTAAATCAAAACCTGTGAATCAGACAACGGCCCATTCGAACCGCTGAGTCACCGCTTCGGATGAGCAGGAGGCTGGTTTCTGATCCATTTCTGCTCTGTCCACAGGTGCGGGTCAGCGTGACCCCACTCATGCAGACGTGTCTCCTAACGATCTGATTGGTCATGATGACGACGGTGGCCACCGAGTTGGAGCACCTGGAGCTGCAGCAGCAGTACAGCAGCAGCGACACCGTCAACCACCGCTGGGATGATGACTGGGACAATGAGAACAGCTCGGCCCGGCTGTTTGAGCGCTCTCGCATCAAGGCGCTCGCAGGTAGGAGCCAGCCATGCCGCCTTAAAACGACACCTTAAATTAGGTAGAAGTGAAATAGGACCTTTTGTGCTTCTCAGGGGTTCAGGTTTACATGTTTGGGATCCATATTATCAGTCAAGGTCGTCACAAAGACTGGATCAGAGCCGAGTGTCTGCAGGATGTTTGTCTCTGATTTCCTGTCCTTGACTCTGGAATGTGAAGAAACAATGAAGGGGAAACACCCTCATGGCACACACACACACGCACGCACACACACACACACACACACACACACGCACGCACACACACACACACACACACACACACACACACACACACACACACACACACACACACACACACACATCTAGCCTGACCTATGCTAAGTTTGACATGAAAACACGGCAGATTGACACTTTTATTAGACTTTAAGGCTAAACTAGGATTCCTGAGGTGTGAACTGTTACTTCCTGTGTTGGAGAAAACCAGATTGGATGAGCTTCGGTCGCTGGGTGGGGTCTGTCAGATCTATCGGGTCTTTGTTAATCAGTATCAGAAATGATTGCATCAGTTTTACTAACAAGTTTCCTTTAAAAAAAAAGGTTGTCCTATATTTCTGTAGCGCCCTCTAGAGTCATAGAGCCCCCCAAGGCTCTTTATAAGACGATGATCATACACCCACACACACACACACACACTCACATGCTGGCAGTGATGAGCCACATCAGCCCTGGAGGGGGGGCTGCCATCTACAACCACCACCAGACATTTGTCCGTGTGTGGGCGGAGCTCTGTGAGGGTGGTGAGGGGAGGGGGGGGGGCATGTGGGCGGGACTCCCTGTGTGTGTTATAGAATTAGAATAATCACAATAAGACTGACGCTGTAGCTACAGTGCTGAGAGGGAAAAGCAGGGCTGGACAAGCGCACACACACACACACACACACACACACACACACACACACTGCCTCCCTGCTCGTCACTCTGACCTCTGGACTCTTTTTTCCACCTCCAGCGACACGAGGACAGTTTCCTGTTTTCAGGGTCTAAATCTTCTTCTGCAGCAGAAATCTTTCTGGAAGCAACATATTTATGATTTTTTTTCTCTGCTGCCAAGAGAAGGTTTGGTCTTTTTGAAACTCGGGCCTGGACCTTTGGAGGAGAGGTTCTTGCAGGTTAAGGTTGTCTTTGGGTGAACTGGATCTGAGTCTGTTATGGTCCATGGTCCGTTTTGGTTGGAAGCAGCTTTTCTGGATCAAGAGAACTTCAGCAGTGTTTGAGTGATTGGCTGAGGGTATCGGGTTAGGATGGAGGCGGATGCAGTCCAGCAGGTGAACTATGACCTGCTGGAGGGCCGGTTCAAGCAACTGCAAGGTAAGAGGGAGAAGGACTCTGAGGGGTCAGATCCTTCAGCAGAGCCTAGAGTGAACCTGAGGGACCACAGTGTGGTTAACGGGTCTCGGGTCAGCTGTTCTGATGTGAGGTTTAAACGATTGTCTTCGGTAACATTTTAGTTTAGGGAACACAAATTAACCATTAATTAGCTGCCAATTAATGCACATATTAGTGGATTACTAAGTCTGAACTAGTCATTATTAACCGTTTATTAACTGTGTATTACTACTGCTGTAATTCTAACATTAACAGGCCATAAATGAAGAGTTTTATCATAATAAGCTACTCATAATGGTTTGCTAACAAAGTAAATGTGTTGTTGCTGATTAACGCACGTTCTAATTAGCTCTGACTTTAGACTGGCGAACATATTCTTGCCTTTAAGTGGTTAATTGATTGTTGTTTAGGCTCTACTAACATGTGGAGTTTGGTGTTTGTGTACATAATACCAGAACATAATATTTTGGTTGTTAATGCAGAATAACCATTCCCCTTGAATGACTTCTTTAAAAGCCACATATTGATTAGAGCTAATTAGCATGTGTGTTAATCAGCAACAACACATTTACTTTCAGTTAAAAAACCATCATGAACGTCTTATTATGATAAAACTCTTCATTTATGGCCTTTTAATGTTAGAATTGCGTAATTGGTAATACGCACCTAATAACAGCTTAATAATGACTAATGCAGACTTAGTAGTCCACTAATATGCATATTAATTGGCAGAGAATTAATGGTTAATTTGTGTTCCCTAAACTAAAGTGTTACCTTGTTTTCATATAAAGAACAAACCTGGTCCAGGTCCAAATGAGTTCTGCAGGAACCGGAGAGGTTCTTCTGGACCATACGGTCGTTCTGCTAAACACAGAAGCCTCTTTGCTTGTTTCAGCCCAGTTAGTCTTGTTTCTTAGATTAGTGACATCATCTGCACAAATGCTAATTAGGCTAAGGTGTTAGCCTAGCAACACATTTAACTTGATGAAATACATTCAGGTGAATACAACTAGAAAAAATGTTTCGTTTAGAATCTTTAGAACCTTTCGTAAATGCGAAGTACGATTAGATCTAAAACGTGAGCTGATTGATTAGTAGTCCTGTATCTGGTATTGATTAATAGTCCTGGATCCATTATAGATTAATGGTCCTGGATCCATTATAGAGTAATAGTCCTAGTCCTGTATCTGGTATAGATTAATAGTCCTGTATCTGGTATAGATTAATAGTCCTGTATCTGGTATAGATTAATAGTCCTGCATCTGGTATAGATTAATAGTCCTGTATCTGGTATAGATTAATAGTCCTGTATCTGGTATAGATTAATAGTCCTGTATTTGGTATTGATTAATAGTCCTGGATCCATTATAGAGTAATAGTCCTGTATCTGGTATAGATTAATAGTCCTGTATCTGGTATAGATTAATAGTCCTGTATCTGGTATAGATTAATAGTCCTGTATCTGGTATAGATTAATAGTCCTGTATTTGGTATTGATTAATAGTCCTGGATCTGGTATAGATTAATAGTCCTGTATCTGGTATAGATTAATAGTCCTGTATCTGGTATAGATTAATAGTCCTGTATCTGGTATAGATTAATAGTCCTGTATCTGGTATAGATTAATAGTCCTGTATTTGGTATTGATTAATAGTCCTGGATCCATTATAGATTAATGGTCCTGGATCCATTATAGAGTAATAGTCCTAGTCCTGTATCTGGTATAGATTAATAGTCCTGTATCTGGTATAGATTAATAGTCCTGTATCTGGTATAGATTAATAGTCCTGTATCTGGTATAGATTAATAGTCCTGTATCTGGTATAGATTAATAGTCCTGTTTCTGGTATAGATTAATAGTCCTGTATCTGGTATAGATTAATAGTCCTGTATCTGGTATAGATTAATAGTCCTGTATCTGGTATAGATTAATAGTCCTGTTTCTGGTATAGATTAATAGTCCTGTATCTGGTATAGATTAATAGTCCTGTATCTGGTATAGATGAATAGTCCTGTATCTGGTATAGATGAATAGTTATCCATCTATCCATCCATTTTTTGCCACTTATCCGGGTTCGGATCACGGGAACAGCAGCCTAAGCTGAGAAGCCCAGACTTCCCTCTCCCCAGCCGCTTGGGCCAGCTCCTCCGGGGAAATCCTGAGGCGTTCCCTGGGCAGCCGAGAGACGTAGTTCCTCCAGCTTGTCCTGGGTCTTCCTGTAGGTCTTCTCCCGGTTGAAGGTGCCCAGAAAACCTCTCTGAGGAAGGTAGGGCGAGAAGCTAGGGTCAGATTAATAGTCCTCTATAGATGAAAAAACCTGCATCTTTCAGTCTGAACTCGGAAATGTATGTTTAGACTTTGTTTTACCTTTACTTCCCGCCGTCCTTTCAAAGTAAAATTTTAGGATTTCGGTATATCCTGCAGACACAAACTGAACCCAGAACTGTTTTTGTGTTTAGATGAACGAGAGGCAGTCCAGAAGAAGACCTTCACCAAGTGGGTCAACTCTCACCTGTCCAGAGTCTCCTGCAGGATCACAGACCTCTATATGGACCTGAGAGACGGGAGGATGCTGATCAAGCTGCTGGAGGTCCTCTCTGGAGAGAAACTGGTAACACACACACACACACACACACACACACACACACACACACACACACACACACACACACACACACACACACACACACACACACACACACACACACACGGACCTGAACAGCTGATTGCATTTTAGTTTTTAACCGAGTTTGTTTTGCTGTGAAAGGCAACGTTTCTACTTCTGGATCCAAACCTAAAGTTCTGTGAGCATCTGATGGGATGTGTAGAGCAGAGGATGCTGGGTAATGTAGTCAGTTAGCAGCATGGGAGAAAGCAGCTGCCAGTTGCGCTTTATTGTTTTATGATCCAGATTTTTATCAGAGCCTCCGTTGGAGGATGTGGGTGGAGCTAACGCTCCAGTTAAAACATAAGGTAGGAGATTTTTAGTGTTGCACAATGAGTGTCTGAGTTTTAGAAGGTGTGTCCTACTTCCTGTTTCTCTACGGTCAGAGGTTGGAGCAGGCAGATCCTGGAGGTCCAGATAAGAACCCGTTGGCTCTGGACCACCTGATGAAGTCCAAAGACGTGGTGTCTTCACTCACTTCCTGTGCTGCTTTCAGGGGTTAAAATATGCTTGTTGGGGGGGTGTGTGTGTGTGTGTGTGGGGGGGGGGGGGGGGGGGGGGGGGGCTAGTGCCGCTGATGATGATATCTCAGGTTCTGGTTCAGGTGTGACAAGCTGCAGAATGGTTGTTGGTACCAGAGGAGTTGAACTGGAGCTGCAGTTCCTCAGCTGAAACATTCATCCTGACTCTGCTGTGTTTCTGCAGCCGAAGCCCACCAAAGGCAGGATGCGGATCCACTGCCTGGAGAACGTGGACAAAGCCCTGCAGTTCCTGAAGGAGCAGCGGGTCCACCTGGAGAACATGGGATCCCATGACATTGTTGATGGGAACCACCGACTGACCCTGGGTCTCATCTGGACCATCATCCTGCGTTTCCAGGTAACCACAGAATCAGCTGAGGGGTCATTTCTCCTGAGCAGGCGAAGAGCCACGCCCCTTTAATAAAGCACTCATACTAGCCTCGATTGACCGACAGGTTAAGGTTCGTCATCGCCATGGAAACTCTGAGCAGTGACATGAGGGTGTGTCCAAATGCACTTTGACCTCTCAAATAGAACCAGCCAATCAGTGAATCTCTCTCAAGAACATTTTCAGAACCGGGTCAGGTCCAAACTAAGTTCAGAATGGTCGTGTGACATCTGCAGCTCCAACAGGAACAGGAAGTCTCATAGTTGTTCAGAACTGAGCCGCTCGTGGTCTAATGTGACCCAGCAGAGCTAAATGTGAACGGTTGACCTGGTGTAGCCCCTGTAGGCCTGAGGCAGGGTCAGGGGTCAGATCTGTCCTTGGTCTGGCAGGATGATGGAAAACCAGCAGGAGAACATGAGAGGAACTCAACAGGTTCACCCTACCAATCACCATACCCTCTGAAGTCATAATAACATTAACGCTGGTACCCAAAACCTAAACAACCATCAGAGCCACAGAGATTTAAAACAAAGCTCATTCTGACCAGAATTCTCTTAAAGAAAAACAACGTTGAACATAATAAACACAGTTTGGCACAGACAGCAGGTGGGACCAGTAGAAACCAGTTACGCCGGGCGGACACTGTGCGACTTTTTCACTCGTAGCACTCAGCTTCAGCTCAAACTGTACGACTTCCTCGCAGGGCAGATCTCACGAGTCATGCGCTCACACTGCACGTCTGGTAGCAACACGTCGGACCTAAAAATATGCTAACAATAGCAGTTTTTACTCAACACGTCATACTTTTTTGTCTTGTCTTGCCTGTTGTCCTTCGGGAGTGCTGCAGGAGGACACACAGGGATTTATGGGGGTTAGATGAGGAAAACGACATAAAGTAAATCTGTGTGATTCCTAGAGCCTGATTCATGCTTCTGCGTCTGCGTCAGCGCGGAGACACGCAACGCCATTATCCGTCCTTAAGGGCCTGCTGGAGAGCTCCGCAAGGATGGACGGAGTCGAGCTCTCTTTTCTAAACATCCATCATTCGAGACGGACAAAGCAAGCTTGTGATTGGTCAGGACGCCGCTGTCGTCTACACCGCCGCCATTGTGCCCTCAAAAACATAAAGAGAGCCGAGGATAACAAGCGGCAGACACGGAGCAGCTTGAAGAATACCTCGCGAAAAAACTCTAAAAACATGAACATTTAATTCCCCCGTGGCTGGAGGAGTGAAAAGATGCGCAGCAAGCGTTTTATTTGTGGACGGAAATAACAGGAAACATGGGTTTAGAGGTGGCGAGCGCATGAAGAGGTGGAGGAGAATGAGAGACAAATTTGTCTGTGTTAAAAAGTCTCTTATATAAAAAAAAACACAATATAAATACACTATCTTGGACCGATACATGACAGGATACCACAGAACAGCGCTACGCCCTCTGTTGTCCTGCCGGGGAATTGCTCTGCAACACTCTCCAGGAGACGGAGAAGTATGAGAGCAAAACACTTCCGTCAATCCGTGCGTGTCTGTCCCTTGCGGAGCTGACGGAGAAGCATGAACCAGGCTTAAGGGAAACACTGAGGTGTGACAGGTGGAGGTGTGAGAGGTGGAGATGTGAGAGGTGGAGATGTGGTAGGTGGAGGTGTGAGAGGTGGAGGTGTGACAGGTGGAGATGTGAGAGGTGGAGGTGTGAGAGGTGGAGGTGTGAGAGGTGGAGATGTGGTAGGTGGAGGTGTGACAGGTGGAGGTGTGAGAGGTGGAGATGTGGTAGGTGGAGGTGTGAGAGGTGGAGGTATGAGAGGTGGAGATGTGGCAGGTGGAGGTGTGACAGGTGGAGGTGTGAGAGGTGGATATGTGGTAGGTGGAGGTGTGAGAGTTGGAGATGTGAGAGGTGGAGATGTGAGAGGTGGAGGTGTGAGAGGTGGAGATGTGGTAGGTGGAGGTGTGACAGGTGGAGGTGTGACAGGTGGAGGTGTGAGAGTTGGAGATGTGAGAGGTGGAGATGTGGTAGGTGGAGATGTGAGAGGTGGAGGTGTGGTAGGTGGAGGTGTGAGAGGTGGAGGTGTGAGAGGTGGAGATGTGGTAGGTGGAGGTGTGAGAGGTGGAGGTGTGAGAGGTGGAGGTGTGAGAGGTGGAGGTGTGACAGGTGGAGATGTGAGAGGTGGAGGTGTGAGAGGTGGAGATGTGGCAGGTGGAGGTGTGACAGGTGGAGATGTGAGAGGTGGAGGTGTGAGAGGTGGAGATGTGAGAGGTGGAGGTGTGACAGGTGGAGATGTGAGAGGTGGAGGTGTGAGAGGTGGAGGTGTGACAGGTGGAGATGTGAGAGGTGGAGGTGTGAGAGGTGGA